TCCTGGCTATATATTGACCGATGAGCTGGTACCATTTATAAACCCAGATAGGCTTTCCCAGTTGATTGAGTCCACTCCACTTCACCGTATTGGTCAGCCCCTGGATGTTGCCAAAGGAGTGGTATTCTTGGCCTCAAGTGATGCTCATTTTATTACCGGCGCTAATCTGGTGATCGATGGAGGGATTATCTATACTTAATTGACATTAAATTATATTCTCATATTTTTATTTGATTTTAAATTTACTAAACACTAAATTAATTTTAAAGTTGGCACTTTGTAAAAATAAATGTAAAATGACTTAGGAAGTATAAAATAAATTATTGCTATTACCACGGTAATATCATTTTTATTCAATAATAATTTTGAATATATTATATTTACTGATAAACTGCACCTTAAAAGAATATACTTTTAATCTGATATTGATTTGAAGTAATTGATAACATATTAACAAAAAAAGTGTTGGAAAATATAAATAAATTATATTTGCGTAATAATGATCTGGTAAAAGATTATTTTTGAGATTAATAATTATTATCTTTTGTAATATATTGGAAATACAAATAATTGATCAAGGATGCATACTATTTCAACATAGTGTACGATAAATCAGTCAGATAAAATGTTTTCACCAAGATATTGTGTATAAAAAACAACGGATTTAGATCATTAATGAATTATTTGCAAATGTGTTAATAATAATTAATAAAAAATAAATTTCAAAAATGAAATTCATATTACACAATCGTAATGAAAGTTATCACTTACGTTAACTAAAGTTACTAAAGCTATAGTTTCTGATGCTTCTCCACTTCTTGAGCGCTTTGAAATGCCCTTTTCATCAAAACCACTGGCCTTCATCAAGACCAATCGGGGAGGGAATCGTCAAACTGTTCTCTATATTGGGGGCCAATGTTGTGGTCAACGGACGTAAGGACGCAGAAGTCCAGAAAGTGGTTCAAGAGATCCAACAATTATCTCCATATAAACTAAAAGTAATATTAATATTAATTTTATTTTATACTAAATTTTGAAATGATTTGTAAAGCCATTAGGAGTTGTGGCGGATGTGACCAAAACGGATGACTTGAATAGACTGTTGAATGAAACGATCAAAACATTTGGAAAGTTAGATGTTTTGGTGAATAATGTCGGTATTAATCCCAACCTTAACATTACCGATAAAAATTTAATGGAGATTTGGGATCAAGTCTTTAACACTGACTTAAGATCATCGGTACAACTCAATCACCTGTTGGTCCCATACCTGGAGGCAACAAACGGCACAATAATAGCCATATCTAGTGATTCAGCGCTTATTCCGGTATTTAAATCATAAATTTATCTGTATTAAATGAATGTAATTGTTTAAATATGTTTGCTATCCTACAAAGTATGTCAACAATTTGGCCTCAAGTTGTGCCAAGGCGGCCGTTCAGATGATGACCAAGGTACTGGCCCTCGAGTTGGGACCCAAAGGCATTCGCGTCAATGCTATCGAGTAATCATTTCAAAAGCTTTTTAATATTTATTTTTTACATAAACAGCACATGTACGGTACACTTACGGTATATTGAATTATGATATTTCATTTAAATAGTTTAAGTTTCGTGCAAACCAATGAGCATTTTACCCCGGATCAATTGGAACAAATGAGACAACGGAACCCACTTCGCAAGATTGGACAACCACTTGATATCGCCAAAGGTGTCATATTTCTGGCCTCAACTGATGCCCAGTACATAACCGGTGCTAATCTAGTAATTGATGGTGGGGCTGTCTATAATCACCAATAGTATTATACAGTATATAGACTACTGTATATTTTTGTTAAAACATTTTTTGATAAATTCATTGCAATTGTTTTAATTAAATATAACCCAATTTCTAATACAGTAGTGATTTTATCATTTTTAATGTAATTCATTTTTTGAATAAATTATACTTTTCAAATTGTAATAATAAATGTGATTTTATTTTTCACTTAAGAATAATAAGTTATGATACTATCTTTAATATTTAAACGAATATTTAAAATATAAAAATATCCAAGGATACAAATATTTTAGGCGTACGAAAGCCAACCTTAATTGCTGTCTAAAGCAGACTGAGTGGTCACAATAATCGGTAGATTAATATGCAGGTCCACAGCGTGTGGGATGTCCAGGGTCACATGGACCACGTATTTAACACTTATGACATCAGTTTTGATGGACAGTGAGGCGCTTTTGGGTATCAGTACGTGTATAATGTCCGTATTGTTTGCATTACTGGCCATCTTATTGCCAATTATGTGCTCAGTTAGCACTCGGTCTACGGCTTTATGGCATTCCCCGCACTGGTAGATAAGGGTCTGGTATAGAGTAGCTCTGGGGGTCACTTCGACTGTTGATTTATTTGCCACATAACAGTGCACTTCAATTGTTTCGCCTGTAATTGAACTTATGTTTAGAGAGAGAGAGAGAGAGAGAGAGAGAGAGAGAGAGAGAGATTTGAACAAACCTGGTAAATAGCCTTTTCGGGATAAACTGGTGTGAAATGCAATCTATAGTTTATTAATACGTACAAATTATCAAGTTAAATTAAGACAATTATATAATTCTATGTACTCACTGATCCAGATCCCATATTAGGGAACACCGACAGTGTTTTATCAGCATGTCCGCCCACGAATATCTATTTAATACAATATATAATTTATTTATTTGTTTGTAATAAATTATTATAAAAATGATCTTGGTCAACCTTAAGATTGTGGCTCATGGGAGAGTCAACAGTGATCCGGGTCTTGATTGTGTTCACCTCATCACTATCTGGCTCATCAATAGCCGCCTCCACGTTATAGTGGATCCAGGCGTGAGAGTTCTCGAATGACGAGGGTAATCCACTGCAAGCATATTTGTGAGTAATTAGTTTTATAACAATTTGAAAGCAAATTTATATTTTATTAAATTCATAATTATCGGCTAAAACTTATAAAATTCAAAATAAATTAATTATACAAAAATATTTGACTCACTCATCAGGTATCTTTATGTCAAATGGAAAGGTATGCACACCACGATCCAGGGTTTTTTCGTGGGCTATTCGTAATATGGCATAATTATATGAAACACCATGGTCAAATCATTGTAACTTATCTATTACCATTTTTGTTCATATCAAAGGGGACGTCCAAAAACTTTCTATTATTATGGTACATGAGAGCACCATTAGCTAATGGTACATGCTCAGTCCAGTTGGCCTCACCCATACAGACCAGGCTTATCCGGACACCCGATGCCAGTACACCACCAGTTGAGGCGAATTTTAAGCTACCGGTGACCCGATCGCCGGCCACGTAATGATTTGTTTCATTATCCAGGTCAATCTCCATGTTTGTTACGTGCTTTGATTCCATTGTTAATTATCTAGATTAATTTAAATGCTTAATTAATAAGTAAATTATAATTTACACACAATTTCAGTAATTATTATAAACATAATAATTAATTTAGAAATGAAATTGAATGATAAATGAGATATACTATACATTTTATAAAGTCAAACTAAAATAAACATTTTATTTAAAAATATAATATAGAAATATTCTTAAAACAAATACCTTTGATTGACTTAACACTTTTGTAAATATAATTTATTAACTTAATAATAACTTTTATTCAACTGAAATAGATTTTATAATTGTTCACCTAAAGTACATCACTTCATATACCATTTGATTTCAAATGAATTATAAATGATTACATAATATTTATAATATTTACAAATTGAATAACATTTTTAAATGACTAGAAACATGAGATTACTATAAACAACATGTTTACAAATTGTCAATTGAGCTCAAAAAGATTTATTTCTATTAATAGGGTATGTCACATTAAATTGATAGTCTACGTGAAATTGTACCGGTACATACAATTTGGTAGGTATGTACAGTATCAATAATTTGTCTATGAGCATGTTTCCCATTGATTGTAGTTGTGAAGTGTTATTGAATGCTATTTGCACTTTATTTCGTAAACATATTGACTACAGAATATATGTTTACAATAAAATTCTATTCAATTCATTGTTTGAACATGGTCACGTGGTACAGTTTACAAAAATTATTACAATAATATTATGAGCGTGTCATATTTTGTTTATTTACACCCTACATGATGACATTTCAATTGAAATTTGATGAATTCATAATAGATTATATTTTTAAATTTTATGTGTATTACATTGTGTAGAATATTTTTGAAAGAGCATGTAACAATAATCTAGGTTATAATAATATATAAATTGATCAATTTAATAAAAGTATTTTAATATTAAAGTTAACATTATAATTTTTATAAATATTATATTCGATAGAGTAAGTGAATATACTAGAATCTACTAGTACTAGAATATACTAGAATATAATAATAACCTAGGCACATATTGGAGTAATAAATTTTTCCAGTCTCCCCAAATTCTAGAATATACTAGATATTAAATTCATATAAAAGTGTAAATTAAAATATTTTTGCCTAATTGTTTTATTGTAGATTAAACTATTATATTAATATTTTATTACATGTATTTATTAATATTTTATTATTGTATTCTATTTATATAGAGTTTAACAATAAGCACTAAAGTAAGTCAATTTTCAATTTTGAGAGAGAGGGAGAGAGGGAGAGAGAGGGAGAGAATATTATGAGCGTGTCATATTTTGTTTATTTACACCCTACATGATGACATTTCAATTGAAATTTGATGAATTCATAATAGATTATATTTTTAAATTTTATGTGTATTACATTGTGTAGAATATTTTTTCAAGAGCATGTAACAATAATCTAGGTTATAATAATATATAAATTAATCAATTTAATAAAAGTATTTTAATATTAAAGTTAACATTGTAATTTTTATAAATATTATATTCGATGGAGTAAGTGAATATACTAGAATCTACTAGTGCTAGAATATACCAGAATTTAATAATAACCTAGGGCACATATTGGAGTAATACATTTTTCCAGTCTCCCCAAATTCTAGAATATAAATTCATATAAAAGTGTAAATTAAAATATTTTTGCCTAATTGTTTTATTGTAGATTAAACTATTATATTAATATTTTATTACATGTATTTATTAATATTTTGTTATTGTATTCTATTTATATAGAGTTTAACAATAAGCACTAAAGTAAGTCAATTTTCAATTTTGAGAGAGAGAGAGCGAGAGAGATAGAGAGAGAGAGAGAGAGAGAGAGAGAGAGAGAGAATAGTAAAAATAGATTAGTCTTATATTGAGTATAAGAGATGTCACACACTCTACACCCAAATGGCACGCATTGGGTGTGCATTGCATTCACAGACTCATAGACTGTAAACAACACACAAAACTGACATATAACTATAACTTTTTTGTTATTCTAACTAACAATACAGCTTGTTAAATTTATTAATAGTGTAACCCCAGTTTTATCACAAATTATATTAATACCCATTATTTTTATCATAAATACGTAAATAACATATAACTAACATCCATAGTGACGTTAAATAAAAGTTGTAATAATATTTTCAAATAAAGCACTACATTAAATATTTGAACAATAATTGTTATTGTCTATATACAAATTATAATAAAAAAAAGGTATTAATAATACCGTATTATTATTATATACTGTCCAATTGCTATAGATACAAGGTGATTTTCAAAGAGTAAATTATGGATCGATCACACATATCTAAGTTGGACATTAGCTTGGACAATAAGAAACAACACTATCTGGCTGGCGATAAAGTATCTGGCTCATTGGAATTGACAATACTTGGACCGGAAAGTACGCCCTACCCGCACATAGGGCTAGTATGTGTGGCCGAATCCAAATGGGTTGAGAGCGCCGGCACTTACTTCCACCGCGAGGGACAGGAGTACAAAGATCAGCGCACTTACGTTGATTTGGTCTACAAAATGCCCGACCAATGTATGTCCACATAATATTATTTTGCTAGAGTATTTTATTTTGAACTATATTAAATTTTCACTCACTTATAATACAAATATATTACACCAAGGTTTGTATGATATATGTTACAAACACTTCACTTTAATTTAAATGATTACTGTAAATCCAACTTTTATATTTATAAATAGATTGTGACAAGTGCATGGGCCCGGGTGATCATGTCATACCATTTGAGTTTACTTTGCCGGATGAGTATGAACAAGTATATTGAGTAACATTGCACTACCTTGTTAATAATAATTGTTTCCCAATTTTTTAGAGGTATTCCCGCATCATTTGAAGGCCCAAACGGATCGATACACTATTACATAACTGCTAACATTGACCAGGCGCATAAGATTTCATATAAATTTACTGTGGACTCACCTATGCAAACTAATTTTAAAGTAATTCTATTGTTTTTTATTATTATTTAAACGGGAGAGACTAGACAATTTTCAAGTAATTGATTGTTATATGATCAAGGTCTCAGTGGGTGGCACCGTTGAGAAGGTGTTTGACTTTCCCAGCATTGGCGGTGGAATTGTATGTTAATTGCATTGATTTTATGCTGCATTTTATATAATTATTATAAATCATTAGATAAGACTCCATGCTAGTTTGGTTAAAAAAGGATTTGCTCCGGGTATGTATAACACTAATTCCAGTCAATTGTATACCTAAAACTAAATGATTGATTGCCAAATGACCAAGGTGACACTATTGTGGTCCACTGTACGGTTGAGAATCATTCGACAGTAGATGCGACCCCTCGGGTCACTCTATACGAGACTCAGGTGTATATGTGTGGCGAACGGCATAAGTCACTGCAGGCGGCCATAACCGGACCGGAATTGGGCCATACAGTCGGCCAACAAACCTGTGACACGC